ACCCTGAGGGTAGACTGATGGAAGTAGGGCTTCCGTCAGACCTCAGGCCCGCCGCGCCACGCGCAAAGCCGCCAGCGAGGAGGACCGTGACCAGACACACTTGAAGCCTAACCGCAGTATATACCGCTGTGACACAAGCTCGGGCACAGAGTTTCTTGTCAGATGGAAGGGCTGCAGAGATTGGGAAGATTGGGGTTTTCGTGACTCACTTCGGTTTCAGTATTGCTTCAGTCTCAAGTAGTTTCTGCCTCAACGAGTTGGATGCCCTCACTTTGTTGCTTAGCAGCTTGTTGATTCCAGAGACTAACGATTGAACAGCGACGAGGACACAGGCAAGCTTGAGAGTACCGCTCCTGCTACTGCTGCGCTGCTTCTGCCGCAGCAATACCGACCATTGAGGTTGTGAGCACAAGTGTAAGCTATAGTGCTACAGTACAGACCCCTGATGACCTTCGTGATTTAGGCATGCGTCACTGGCTTTGGCATCGCTGCTACAACTGCATGCAAGAGGCTAACGGAGCATCGTTGCAGCCATGTGCCATATCTCACATACTAGAACTTCACCGTGGTCTTGCTTACCATTTGTCGATCTTGTGTGGAGTGAGAGGACTGGATCAGTGAGGAGGAGGCCTGTGCTTCATGTCTCACGTTTGCATACTGGGCTTGTGCAGCATGTACTGGGACAGGACGAACCAAACACTGACAAGGAACCATGAACAGAGTGCCCTCACCAGTCTAGGTGATGAGTACAGGTCGTGCCATGCTTAAAGTTTGAAGGAGCAGTAGCATCCCAAAGCTTGAGGCTCACATCCCGGAACCGCGAAAGATACAACCACAAACAGCAAGCAGAGATCTCCACCTGATAGGTCCGGGATGCTGCGTTGAAATCCTTCGCGGCGGTTCAGGCCAGTGGCTCTCTAAACTCACTCAATCAAAGTTGCAGGTTCTGCATGACATCAAGTCTCAGCTGTGTTTCCGCTTGAGACTTCACCGGAAATGCCCCGAAGACCGGGAAACATGCTGAGATCAGTCAGTTGATTCCACAAAAACTTGCTATCCTGCCTAGATCGAACGCTTTGTGTTTGCCCCTTCCTTTGGCGCCTCTTCCTTCGCGATTGTTCCTCGTAAACACCTACATGCTGCATTGTCAAACGTTCTCTCGAACGCTTGTGCGAGTGAGCCCACTCGCGGCAGTATGGAACGTGCTGTAAGCAATTGCCTTAGACTCCCTTCGCGGAATAGCCAAAGCGAGAGGGGCTCTTAATTCCTCTATCATCAAACGACAATCATACAGCATGAAGCTCGAAGCCCAACACCAGAATCAGCATGAACGCATACAAATCAGCTCCATATTTCTCCATGAAGCCCAAATCCAAGAATACCCCGGAAAGCAGCAATCGGAGGACCCACTCCTTCGACGATCTCTGGAGCTCCGGTTTGGGGCAGACAGAGGCAGACCTTTGTGTGGATGGAGCTGCTGCTTTTTGATCTGTCGGCAGGTAAATCAGCTACAGTTAAACTTGGCTACAACGCATTGAGTCTACTTCGAAGCCTTGGTAACAGAGCACATGACGTGTGTGTCACCTTCAAGACCGGCTCAGCACCAGTGGAGGCTTAGGCATGCCGAGGCTGCAGGCTCGCTGTGGATTTTCAATCGCAGGCGTCTGTGCATAACATGGCTAGATACTTCCCTCAACCCTCAATGCCCCAGAATGCCTGCTCTTCATCATGCACACTTGATGCTGCGAGTTAGACGAAAAGCCAAACTTCATGCCAAACTTCAAAACTCGCACAGGCAGTGCAGCCATCCTTATTTCTGGCAAATCCATGCATGCATGGCAACAGGAAACAGTTTGGTTGCAAGCCCCATGAAAGCCGCTGGCTTAGATTTTAACGTATGCTACCCTATGTTTGAGTTGCATCGCTTACTACTTCGTGGATACAGGTGTGTCGATTTACGAACAGCAAAACAAGTAACATGTTGAGTGTTCAAGTTCGGAAAGTTGTTCAACGATATACGTTCTGCTAGATCATGTGAGCCACAGGTTTGCTCATCGAGGGCAGAGTATGTATGTATCGGACATTACCGGACCTTCAGCCTGTTCGCGAAGTGGCTCGGAGGTGGGGTGCGCCGAACGCCGGCAGAGGCCTGGGCAGATCAGATTCTTGCGTATAGGGGCCTCAATAATTAGGATAGGGTTTGGGGGGGGGGGGGGGGGGGTGTAAATTATACTATAATTGTAACAAGGAGCCCCCAGAACCCTATTCAAATTATTAAGGCCCTTACATTAGAGCCCTAAGTCCCATGCTCGCTAAATGCATGTTCTGTCGGGGTTCAAAAAAGATCATGATTTCGCAGCGAAGTTGTCAACGGGTGACAGCAGCAGGAGACGGAGTGCGAGACTTCCTTCAAGTTCCAAAACCGAAATCTTGCACCCTGCTGGACGTGGCCAGAGACTTCGAATCCATGCCCTCAAAGCCGGATCGCTAAGCTGAACCCCACAGCCCACACCCGCTAAACCAAGAGTCTAACGATCAAACCCTTTTCACTTTTCTAGAGCGGGATCCGCAGGTTGCCGAAGAACTTGGTGGCAAATACCGTGGTAAGCCGGAGGCAGGGTATGACGCTGCTTGTGCTGCAACCCTCTCCGTTCATTCCGTTCGCGGCATCTGAATCTGCTCCCGCTGCTTGCATATTCGGGTTGATCTTTCTGATGTAGCAGTGCCGATATGATGCTGGCGACCACTGATAGTTGAAGAGCTGCCCTGAAGATCCAAGCAGAACTCCCATGCTGCAGATTGTTTAAATGCTCAGAGTCGGAGAAGACAGGCCTTTTGCAACCAACCTAGTTTTCGCAATTTTCCAGCGGCCGGCATGGCTGCTGCATTTGCCAGAGTTGCTGAAGGCCGCTGGAAAGTTTGCTGGTAGCGGTTGCGGGTGCTTCTCAGCCCCGAAAGACTTGCTGATGTCATGATTGCAAGGACTGAGACAGCCAAGTGTATTGCAGCTTCAGCAGGGAGACTGATTTGCCGGCACAGCGGATGCAGACTCGAATGTTGATCTTGTCAGTAGGCAGTACACCGCTTGCAAAATGCTTGTGCTCGGCTGTATTGGGCATAGCCGTGCCAGCACGCAGGAGTTTTCTCCTGGTCAGACGTCCAAGAGGCAGCCGCGAGTGGGTCAGAGAAGCGTCCCGGTGCGCAAAGTCGGGGTTGTTGTTTCGGTACAAGAGTTCTTTGCCGAGGCGGGGTTATGGTCTCTTAAGGACTTGATGTGGACAAGCCATTTTTGAGGAGCTCGTCGGTTTGGAGTACGCACCCTTTTTGGATCGCTGATTTATGCTATTATAGATTGACACCCAGGGCTGCACAGGTGCCGTACCAAAGCAAGCTCTTGCCAAAATTCGCAAGATGAGCCATGTTGATGAAGCATTACTAACGGTGCATGCTGCAGCAGCAACGGCAGCAGACAAATAATGGTCTGTAATTCAGGATGCAACCTGCAAGCAAAGGGTAATCTGTGGCACCAGAAAGCAGAGCAGAGTACATGTTGACACTGCTGCAACTTAGGCAGCTGATTTCGGCTTTGCTCGATGCGCTTGCATCTGGACACGACAAAGCAGCAAGTCTCCTCTTCGACTGGGGAGTGTCACCTGGCCTGGGAGCGGTTGCAGCAGACACGCCGCAACCAGGCAGCGTGCACGTGCTGATCCTGGGCTGGGGCGGTTCCAGCAAAGCTCAGCTGCAACCGGCACAGAAGTGGTGGCAAGGAAAGGGGTACCCCACCTTGGCGACGACTTTCTGCCCGAAAGAGTTGCAGAAGCAGATCGATGCCATCAGTGCTTTCTTACCATCCGAGTGCGATGTCCTGGTGCACGCATTTTCCAACAATGGCGTCTATCTGCTCCAGGAGTTACTGCAGCAAACACGAGAAAGTAGACCTTGGCGGCTCTCCGGCATCATTTTGGACTCGGCGCCGGATGCCTGCGTCAGCCCGATGTTGATGAACATGGTGGTGAATGGCTGCATTCGTGCGCTCTGCATGGTTCACGGCGTTTTCGTTGGGGGACGTCCTGAAGCAGCCTTAACTGCCTTTCAGGTCGTCGGCCCACTACGTGTTGGGGACCGCATCCAGGACCAGGGCCCCGTTCCATCGGTGGCGGGCCCGAGTGGATCTGAGCGTGGCTATTTGGCGAACACGGATCGAGGCACATGGGCTACACTTAATAAAGGGGCCGAAATAATTACCTATACTATTTTTGGGGGTCCCTTATTATATTTAAACTACAAAGGGCCCCAAAGCCCTATTCTAATTATTAAGGCCCCTACAGTATACTTCTTACAACGCAGGACGAAATTCTGGTTCAACACTCCTGCATACATGTTTAGGTCGCATCATGACCAAAATTCGTGTGAGGTTCAGACTCCGAGCAAGGCTCAGAAGAATTGCAGGTCTAGTGAGACACAGCGAGAGCAACCGAAAGAACTCTCGGAATGGCCTTTTGCAGCATGATGACGAGATCAGGCTCAGTTCCAAGCGATTCTTATTGGGTCCTCAATGTAAACTTCGGACTGGTGTGTGTGTGTGTGTGTGTGTGTGCCTGCTGCCACCTTGCAGGAGATGCCATGAGCGCCGAGGTCATGCAAACGGCTCCGCGTCTGCAGTTGGCCTACAGGTTTGCGAGCTGCCCCGAACAACTCTTTCAGCGCCGTGCCGTGCACAGACTCGAAGACATGTGTCCCTAGGGCATCAAGCAGACGGTGTTCAGTGCTTTCAAGCAAACTCGTTGCATGTGTGAGAAGGAGCTGGAGCCTTAAGACCTCTGCTTTAGACCCAAACTCGGAGGACTGGTCAACATGGGTGAAGGAGTTCTCGTTTCTTACTATGGTAGGAGTCTCGTCTGTAAACCTAAAGGCCTGAACCTCAACCCCCACAACCCCAAATCCCGAGCACTTCCTGTCATCCTGCAAAACCCTGAAGCCTAGTTCCTTTGGTGGTTAGAACCCCCTTTGCTAGTGTCTGGCTCCCATATGCATGCCTCGACCAACATGGTATTCCAGACTCGTCGTCAGGCTCACGGAAAAGGGGCGATCAACAACCAAAAAAAAGATCCTATCCTACTTTGATAAATCCTACATCCCCACACCCTAGGGACCCAAAGCCCTAAACCCTATAACTCCTAAACCCTAAGCCCTAAACCCTAATCCCTAAACCTTATAACCCTATATAAATCCTATATAAACCCTATAAACCCCAAGCACCCCTCTTGGGCCAAAGAGGTCGTGGCCGACTACGCCGGCAAGGCCTTGGAGTCCAAAGACCTGGACTCTTTGCAGAAGTTCCAAGTCTCAAAGGCCGGCAAGAAAGCGGCGTGTCGAGTTGTTTTTGGGGGGTTATATAGGGTTGAAAGGGTTTAGGGTTTAGAGGTTTTTGTTGCTGGTTTAGGGCTATGGGTTTAGGGTTTTGGGCTTAGGGTTTAGGGTTTATGGCCCGGCTTGAGTATTGTTCATATCGCGCGGTTGAAGATTCACTGCTTGGCAGCCATTGTTATGTTTCAGCTTTGTTGACATTTGTGGTTACTTCTGTGCCGTGGGGTTAAGGCACGAGGCAGAAAAAGCTGCAGGGATGAATCCTACGAGTAAGGATTCCCCTTTTTATTTGTCGTTCCTGAAGCCCTATAGACTACCCAAACTGGCAACTCCCATTCCTGTGAGCCCGAAGTCTTCAACAAAACAGCTTCGAAGGACGAGCAGACACAACGAGTCTAAGTGACGAGAGTGGGCCCTTGGGCAGTTTTGCCAACGCCATTAGCAGTCTCTGTTCAACGGAAGTCTCTATGCTTATCAAGGCTGTATGCTTCTCAAGGCTGTCGTGCAGTAGGCACCCAAGCAGCTCCAAGCAGTTCCCATGCTGCGAGAGCCGACCCGTTCAACAGCCGCCAGTTGCTGCGAGTTGCTTGCTGTGCATCTCCCTAATCACCCCAACTCGCCCCCCCCCCCTCCTCCGATTGCTGGCAGGTCGAGATTGCAACAATCTCAGATTTTCTGCTGCAGGAGGACGTGCCAGTGTCGCTCGATTTACATTAGGGTTGTTGATGGTGGTCTACTTTCTGGCTGGTAGGAAGGACTTGACCCTAACAACGACACAGCAAAATTGGGCGGCGGTTGCAGAAAGCCGCCGGCCAAGGCTGTTTCTTTATTCCTCTACGGACAGCTTGATCAAAGCAGCTGCAGTGGAAGACTTTATGAAGAGAAGCACCCGCCGCTCACCTGCACATGGTTCACATCCTGATGTCGGACGGATGTGACTAATAAGTTCTGGTAATCTCTAGTAATGACAGGTAATTTTGGTGGCCGAGGTCCACTGCAGAGTAGTACGTGCATGCACATGTGGTCTGGCCGATGATGTGATGTTGCACGGTCAGATCTGTTGTGTAGGGCCTGTTCGTGCAAATTGCCAGAGGCGAGGGGCAGATGAGCTCCAAGAAGTTTGCTGGATCGCAACATGTCTGCCACTTCCAGAAGCATGCCGAGACTCCGCTGTAGAAGTGAGAAATTCAGCCTTGCATCGCTTGCCCATAGCAAGTGTGCTGGTGACTAATCTGTTGTTATCGTCAGATTGTTGTGGGGAGTTCAGTCTTCTGGCTTGTGCGGTTGGCACCAGGAAGGCTTCTGCGGCCTTGTTGCTTCGAGGGCTTACACCTGCCGCTTGCTGCATGATAAGCTCACTTGAAGCAGTATCAAGTCCCAGACCTCCGAGCCGAAGCCCCAACGCGGAGACCTGCACACCAGAACTGAATGAAAAGTCTTACGGCCCTCAAGCCCCGGACCCTTCAACTCTTCAGGAACAGTATGCGGCGGAAGTGGTGGCCTTCGCAGAGCGCTGTCGACTCGCAGCGAGCGCACGCGCGAGCGGCTGAAAAGAAATTACGGTTGTGCACCAGGCATGTGCGTACATCTGGACGTGCACACACAAGCCACACCCGCACGTGCACACTCTCTCAGCATACAGGGAACATGTGCATGTGCATAAATCATGAATATATATATATATATGCAGGATTGCATTGCATACATGTTTACATGCATTACATCTACCTATAAATATATAAATATACATATGCCAGGACATATACGCATTTATGGTTACATCCATGCATCTATCTATCCATGCATGCATTCCTGCACTCAGACATGCCTGCCTGCATATGTGTATAGTATGCATACTTAAAATAGATACATGCATGCGTACATACATCAACACATACAGCCGGCACATGTGCTGAGCTTCTGAACTTGTGGTTTGCTGCTTGCCGAACTTGCTGTGCACCAAGAAAGGCGCAGTGTTTCGGTATGACTCGAACTGATTCGCTTGGCCGCCTCAGTTCTGCATCCTAGAGTCCTAGAGTCCCACCCATTCCGGGCATGATTGTAAGGGTTGGGCCTGATTGACCATCAGACAGGCTCCCTGGTGTTGCAGGCAGCACGTTGGAACAACCTTCACATGCCCCTTTCTTGGCGTCCGCCTTCTTTGTCGGTGTTTCGGTGTGATTCTTCCCGGCTGCATTCTGTCGCAGGCCGCGTTGAACCTGGTCCGCACAGCCTTGCGGAGCATTCCATTGGTAGCAGACGACCCAAAGGAGCATCTGTGATTCGGCAGCTCTTGCAATCGACAGCTTCGCCACTACAGCAGGAGTCCGTCTGCACTTGATAGCCGCAACGTACTTAACTCCTTGTCCTGGCCCGGATGTTGCAGGATTTGGTCGTGATCTACGAGGAGCGCCCCACACTCCAGTCTTCAAAGCTTACGTCTTAGACAAGCGGCACCAACAACATGCTGTGAATGTTGCTGAGAGGAATCGCTAGTACTTGACATGCTTATGCTGGTTCCCATCCGAATAGCTGGGAACGATCACTTTAGAAAAAGTGCGGAAGCACTTTCGTGCCTGCGACAACACCTGCAGCATCTTCAACTATCACCCCGCCGTGATCTTCTTCACGAATACAGTCTTCTGAACCCCGGTTGCTTTCATCTGCAGGATAATTGTGTCTGACGAATCCCTAACAAGGTCCCAGTCGCTCGCAAGCATCGCGCTTCTGCCGGGAATGTTATAGACTGACAGGAGCTATCCCCTTCCATGAACTTGCCATTCTCACCTTTCAGTGTAAAGCTCTGCCTGCCTGCACGGAGTTTAAAAGCTGAACACCCGAGACTTGTGTAAGCCCAGAACCCCGGAATCCAAAGACAGGGTTGCAAGGTTCATGTTGCGGTTATGGTGTAGCACGAGCACTAGGGTTGCGATAGCTCCGCAAAGCCCCACCTAAAGAACCACCAGGCCCCAAGGTACAACATCTATCTGCTGACCGGCTGCCCCACTCAAGCAAGTTCCAGCAGTGGAAGCTCCGGTCCCCCATGAGCAGTTGAGCAGGATGAGTCCCTGCTGGCGGTTTCGAAGCCGCCGTGCCTCCGGTGCACGCCTGTCCACAGGCAGGTCCCTTCATGCACCCTAACCCCCCAGGTACCTACTATATAGGGTACTAGAGCCCCTCTATAGGGCCCTATATAGGGTACTAGAGCTGCTAGGGCCCTATATAGTAGGTACCTGGGGGGTTAGGGCCATCAGTGACCTCGGGTGATTTTGCGTTTGAGTGTGATCGAGAGCTCAGCCCGATGGATGACGGACTACAAGTTTGGAAGCAGATTTTTTTTAAAGAATATATAATCAATAAATATAAATAAATAAATAAATATATATATATATATATATTTATTTATTTATATTTATTGATTTATCTAATGACGAGATCTATGTTGAACCTACATGTTTCGTCACCATCGACACAACTACGGCGCAATTTCGCAAGTGGCAGATGTCCTAAACATCCGATGTAGAACCCTACATTGGTCTGTGCCAAGCTGCAAGAAGGTTTGTGGGAAAGTCGCTGACAAGTCAGGTGGCAGCCTCGTGCTTTAGCTGTGCAGGGCTTTGGGTTTAGGGTTTAGGGTTTAGGGCCCTTATCTTGGCAAGATGTCAGCCGGATCCGAATGCTTCTGCGTTTCTTGCTAGCTGCCGGTGACATGGAAAACCCCCAACCGTATTGGGATGTCAATTCTTGCCTGGGTGATACTGCAAACGCGGCTAAAGAGTCTTCACAGATCACATCCCTAAACCCTAAACCCTCAACCTAGACCCTAAACCCTAGACCCTGAGTCCAGCTTCCAATTCGACGCCCGTGGATCCTAAGATATTGGGCTACTTGCAGTCCATGGGGGAAGGCCAGTTCGACCCTCAGGCACGATGAAGTGAAGGCTCAGCGCCAGGGTTTTGGTCACCATGATCTTGGAGGTCAGAGGGGTTTAAGACTGCAGTTGCCCAGCCAGCTTCGGATTCTGAAAGGCTGCTCCCATGTTGTAATGTACTACCGCCCCTTGGCTCTGTTACACTCGTCCATCTCAGAGGGTCCTGCCGCTGAAGGCAGACCTCGGCACCGATGATGCTGCATCGCTTAGCTCGGCACCTAGTTGAGCTGCACCCGGGACCCGTGTTTGGTGCTCCTCCGGTTCTGCCTCATTGGCTTGTTGCACGTGACAAGGATCAAACCACAAGCGGGATCGTCCTGTGCGCCAAGACGAAGGCTCTTGCGGAGAAGTAGCCGTCATCCTGTTGTGTCGAAGTGGGGGTCCGCGACAAGTAGGAGAAAAGCCTTCGACGGTTTGCATGTGAATATACCCGGTCATGTCAGGGCCCTCCCACATCCTTCCTACACTGTCATACATGTGAAGGCGGCTGCCAAAGCTTGTGCTGCGAGCGCCTCAGCTCACAACATGTCTTGCATCATGTTGACAGTTTGTGTGCTCCATGGTAATAGCTTCGTCCAATCCTGGAGCTTCTAGATTGCAGGCCTCGAGCAAAATGTCTGACCGACTGAAACACATGGATTCTGTCTCATCTGAGTCTCGGTGTCGTGCCAGATCATGCAGGCAACATCATGTTAGCAATTTAACGCTTGAGGAGCAGTGGCACGAGGACGATTGCAAGAAGGACGGTGAAAAGACTTCAGTGTTGGTAGTGCGCGCGGGGGACAGCACTTCACGATGGGTTTCTCAATATACAAAGCTGTACCATGCCATTTCGAGATGGCACGGTCAGGAGTATTTGGCCATCGCACTCGCTGATGGTGAATGCTCCCTGCGTCGTGTCGGCGCGACAACGGTGGGCCGTCCAATGTTTCGAGTGTCCATGCAGAGACAGACCTCAAGATTCAGTTGGCTGATTCGCACCCGATCTCATCTTTGCCGCTGGCTGCTCAAAAGCGCGCTTGCTTGAGCCCGGCAGTTCCTTCCAATAGCTTTGCGAGATTCAGGTTCTCAAAGCCTGTCCTTTCAAAATGTCCATGTCTACATAGTCCCGTAAAAACGCGATTGTTGTAAACATATACAAGTTGGCGGCAACGATGTGGGCGCTGCGCCCGCCGGAGGTGGGGATCCGTTTGGTTCCACGGTCCGGCTACCTGTGGCCGTTGTCGTTTCCCCGCCGCGCCCCGCCACAACCGAGCAATCTGCAAAGGGAGGCCAGGCTGGGCAAAGACTGCGTTTCGGCTTCGAGCTCCATGAGCTTGAGTTTCTGCAGGTTAGGAGTGCAAGGCACCGTGCAACATATCGCAGCTAGCTAGTATCACTGCATCGCGCGATCAGAATGCCCAAGCAACGGAAGCTTAGCTGTATAAAACACTCCAGGACCATCGAGCATCGCACGGCCCCTGATGCCAAGAACGCCCAGACACCATTCAAACTTCCAACCCGTCCAGGGGCGACCGCTCTGTGGCACAGCAACGTTGGCACTGGCCATCACGGCCCTGGCACGAAGTCAGCAGCGGCGCTTGCGGGCCACACTGCGGGCGGTGGACATCGAGTCCTTGGAGGAATCTCGGATGGTGACTGGTATTTCCTTTGGTGTGTAGGCCTAGAGGCGGCCTACAGACAGAAAGGTGTCAAAATACAGGAGTTCATTGTCTCGTAGACTACGAGAACTCCATGTTCTACAAGTATGGTAGGATTCTTCTGCCCAGCTGAGGTGGTGGATGTTCTTTGTGAGGAGGAAGGAGATGTGCAGATTAGAATGAGATGGCCCAAAGATGGCGACTCTCGCATGTTCAACCGTCCTCGTGACCAGCTGCTGGAGAAGACCCTCATGCGAATGTCCCTGACATTGCAGAAGGGGCCACTCGATGTGACTTAGAAGTTTTGTGATTTGTACCGCCCGCCACACCACCCAGACCTGCATGTAGAGTGCAAGCAACATGCCAACCGCCTTCACCGATCCTCACAGCGAAATCGATGTCGGCAAAAAGTGGATGAAGGTTCCGTCGTAGTGTTTCTGCAAGTCTTGCACATGACACCCTCCAAATGCCGATGTGACCGTCCTTTCCTCAGGTCCAATACAAAGGCCAAGCGGCGTGGATGGAGGCAGCGGAAGCAACACAAAGAGGTGGAAGAGAAGAAGGCCCCTTGTCGGAAAGTCTGCAACAGCAGCTGCTTTTGGCTGAAGGTGTTCACCAAATGCTTTTAGTTTTGCTGGGCCCCAATGTTCGAACATGGGAACAAGGGTTTGGAGCAGAGACAGTTGTCTTTCCAGTCCGAAACTACACCTGGCAGAGCTCAACGATGGAACCTTGGGCTTAGGCTACCGTGTTGATGACAGACGAAATGTCCTTTATTTGGTTCGGTCGCGGCATGCACTGAAACTACGCTCAGCATGTTTTCATCGCATTGACCAGTGTATCACACCCTCAAGCACGATCCTGCTCCGAGTCTCTTGAGCCTTTCAGGACTTTCGAGATAGAGGCCAGACAGTGGGTGTTTCTACAGGCCGACTGAGTCTATAGACATGGCACCGAGGTGGAGCCGCCGAAGGCGCCGATGACCACCAGTCTGCTGCGCCTTGGGTGCTCATGAACACGATGGCTCCATTAAGTGCTGCCTTTTTCGTAAAATAAACTCAGAACCTCTGTCGAGTTTCGGGTTTCAGGTTTCATTATAGCTAGAGCAAGCGAGGACCAATGATGGTCAGCCGCTGGACGGGTCGCTGCGGCTGGAACAGGCGTTTGCCGTGGAGACACAAGCAGGAATCCTGCTTGTAGGTCCTGCCCCCAGTGGCCTTTCGAGCTAGCTGCGGATTTCCACAAATGGCCCCCTCCTATGCCTTCTTCCTCCACTTCTCACAAAAGCTGCTACCTATAGTCCCCATTGTAGTTCCTTTTTGAGGATACCTTATAGAATCCTTAATATACAATTGCTTGAACCAAAAAAAGGAACTACAATGGAGACTATAGGTAGAGTCCTACAGCCCTACAGCCCAAGCCCGCTCCAAGAGCGAAGCGCAAGGTGAGGAGAGCTATCGCGTTCGCATCAACCGACCCATGGCACGTCATGCCCCGAAGCTGCACTGAGCTGTACTTCTGAGATTAGGCCGGCGTCGCGGGTCAAATGCTGCGACCGGGGAACTGTATGATGACAACCCCAATTTTGGGCGGATGGCGGCAAGCTTGTCACAAACCGGAACTTCTCAATCACACATCGAGGTGTTGCCGAACATGTTCATTCAGATCTTGAAAAACCGAGGCCACCGAGGCCTCAACAGCGAACTCTCTGCAAACCTTTTCAAGAATCCGGCACTAACCTCTACTCAGTTACATTGATCGCAGCGTTCGCAACCTCGGAATCGAAACCCTCAGCCCGCAAGACCCCAAACCCTCAAACCTCAACATCTCTCGAAGTCCTCGATCCTCAACCGGCAACCCTCAACCCTAAAGACCCTCAACCCTCAGCACCCTCAAACCGTCAAGTCTAAACCCTCAAAACCCTCAAACCCTTACATAATCCTAAACCCACGGTTTAGGGTCCTCAGCCCTCAAAACTCCAGTCCCTTCAATGCCCAGGTGACCTGCCGTGGAAGGCCCAGGGCAGGGCTCCGCCTTGCGGCCGTGGCAGAGGGCTGCGCCTCGGCGTCGGAGTGATTTTCTTGGATAGTTTCTCAAGTGAGAAGCACTTTTGGGAGGAACAGAATAGGATGTCTAGATCCTGTGGCGCCAGGGGCCAAGTGCATTTCGGATTTCTGGAGGATTTTCGGGTTCCTCAGAGCTGTTCGTTGATTTGCTGAGGCCTTGTATAGACCCTTTGACAGCTTTTGAGGACTTCGGGTTTTTGGGCTATTGGCGTCTCATGGCTTCGGGAGCTTTACAACTTCAGAGCATCAGTCAGTCGACTGAGGCTTCCGCACAGAGGTCTACAATGGGTTCAGGTTGGGTTGCTGTTCCCTCTACCGGTGAATTCTAGTGTTTTGTCTGGACTCTCAGTTCGGGCACCCGGTCTTTTGCACCCTATCCAGACATGAGAAGATGCAGGGTCAACGTGTGGGGACGAGTGCATTATAAGGTGGGAATCGGAGAGTTGAGCGTTCGGTGTGGTATGCATGTCCTGTAAGTATGCGTTTTCGAGGCGGCTGAGAGATTGAAGTGCACAGTGGGAGAGAGTGTTGAGGTGCTTTTGATCTGTGGTCTTTGAGGTTTTTGCGATTCGCAGAAGCTTCGCTGGGAGTGGCGTGCTGGCGGTGAGCTGGTGGGCCGTGAGCATTGCTATACACCAACTGAGGCGGCGACGGACTGACAGTAAACATCCACTACAATGGCCACAGAATTACTGCCGTTTGTAATCAGCTTGTGGCACCTGAACAACTTCTCCGGTTGCTCTGGTTTCAAAAATAATGCCACAATGGCTGTTCTGAGTGTTACTGCTAGTTACTGCTTGCCAAGGTGTAAGCTGCTCATGCTGCAAAGACCTGTACTGTGAGCAGAACATCCCTCCATCCCTTTTTGGAAGGCCTTCTAAGGCCCTTCTACTATACTATACTATACTATACTATACTATGCCATACTATACTATACTATACCTATCATCTAACATTATATCAATTATATCGTATAGTACACAGAATGAATTAAGAGAGTCTTAAAATTTCCTCGTCGAGGCGGATGTCGGGCAGGCTTTGGAGGTCATCGCACGGCCACCCTTGGCAGCCGATCCGAAGACGAGTTTTCTCCTGGGTGTGGATGACTTGGAGGCCATTTCGGAGTTTCCGAAAATGAGGGGTACCTTATTTTGGGATCCTTATGATAAGGATCCTAGTGTTTAGGGTACTATATTTGGGCCCCCTATTTTCGGAAGCCCCCATTTAGGACATGTGGTTCAGGCACTAAAAGTCTGTGTGGGGTTTGGTGGGGCCATCGGGGGTTGCAGCTCTCTGGAGGTGTCGTTCTTCGTTCAGGGAAGCCTCAGACGATGCAGCGTAAGTCGTAAGCCGCAGGCGCTTAACCCCGATATCTTTAAGGGACAATAGGAGGGACCCCTAGAAGGGACCCCTAATCCAAATACCCTAGATAACCCTTAGATACCCCTTATCTAGTCTCATAAAGCCCTATATAACCACAAGGGTCCCCTTAAGGGTCCCTCCTTGAGCCCCCTAAGATATCTCCGTGGAGGCCAGCGCCCAGCTGGAGCTGCAAGAGGTGCAGCCTCCAGCGGCTTTGCCAGGGCAGTGCGATGCGCGCAGCCAGGCAGGCCCGAAGACAAGGGTTCCCTAAAGGTAGCATAGGGGCGCCTATAATTACCTATGCTATTTTTTTTTTTTTTTTTGGGGGGGTTCCTTGTTATGAAAAAGACTATAAAGGACCCCCAAACCCCATTCTAATTATTAAGGCCCCTACATTATGGGTCGTATGGGTCGCTTGAAATTTTGGCCTCTAGGCAATTTCAGTTTGCCTTGGCGACGACGGCTCGTTGATTGGCCTCAGACACATTGGCAATATTGGTGAGTTAGATGTCGTGCTGGGCATCCAGCTAAAACTGAAACGTATTGCAACTTGCTTCGTGATTCGGGAACCTGCAGCTAGCAGCTTGAGTATTCCAGAGAAGTTCCTACGCATGTTACATTGGGTCTCCTGTGCCAAAATCATTCAACCGGCATTTCTGCACGTGGAGGTCTGAAGGAAGCACTGATGGCTCATTCTAGTTCAAGGGCAGCGGACTGAAACAAACTAGCCTTACTCTACTGGCGAAGCCAAGGCAGAGATTTGCCCGGAAGACGTTGCTTTGACTATACTATGCTATGCTATACTAGGCTCTACAAAACTACTGTTCTGGCAAGTGATTTAAAGG